CCCAAGCCCCTCCCCTTCACCTCAAACCACACCCATTTACCCCAAACCACACCCATTTACCCCAAGCCCCACCCATTCACCCCAAGCCCCTCCCCTTCACATAAAACCACACCCTTTTACCCAAACCCCACCCATTCACCCCAAGCCCCTCCCCTTTACCCCAAACCACACCCATTTACCCCAAACCACACCCATTTACCCCCAAGCCACACCCATTTACCCCAAGCCCCTCCCCTTTACTCCAAACCACACCCATTTACTCAAACCCCTCCCCTTTACCCCAAACCACACCCATTCACCCCAAGCCCCACCCATTTACATCAAACCACACCCATTTACCCCAAACCACACCCATTTACTCAAACCCCTCCCCGTTACCCCAAACCACACCCATTTACCCAAGCCCCTCCCATTTACCCCAAACCACACCCATTTACCCCAAGCCCCTCCCATTTATCTCAAACCACACCCATTTACCCCAAACCACGCCCATTTACTCAAGCCCCTCCCCTTCACCTCAAACCACACCCATTTACCCCAAGCCCCTCCCCTTTACCTGAAACCACACCCATTTACCCAAGCCCCTCCCCTTTACCCCGAACCACACCCATTTACCCCAAGCCCCTCCCCTTTACCTGAAACCACACCCATTCACCCCAAACCACACCCATTTACCCCCAAGCCACACCCATTTACCGAAGCCCCTCCCATTTATCTCAAACCACACCCATTTACCCCAACCCCACCCATTTACTCTCAAGCCCCACCCTTCCACCTCAAGCCCCGCCCCATTACCGCGAGCCCTGCCCCTTCCCAAAGCCCCGCCCCCCCTTTCTCCGCCCTACCTGCATTTGTGGTCCCGCGATGGGCGGGGTCGGGCTGGGGGCGGAGGCCAGCGCGGGGCGGGGCCTTGGCGTGGTGGGCGGGCTTGAGGCGACCCCTCCTCCCCTCCTCCTCCTCCTGGGAGCCCCCTCAGGAATTTCTTCTCCACGTAGCTTGGCTCGGATCCAATCTCCCGTTGCACCCTGGGGGTTGGGGGGTTTTGGGGGTCTGGGAGGGTCTGGGGCTCGGGGAATCTTGGGGGTCCTGGGGAAATGAGGGTCCTGGGGGCGGTCTGGGGGGGGGTCTTAGGTAAGGTCTAGGGGTAGATGGGGGTCCTGGGGGGCGTCTTGGGGGAGTCCGAGGGGAAATGGGGGTCCTGAGGGGGGTCTTGGAGGGGTCTGGGGGGGTTCCAGGGTGGTCCCAGAGGAATTCCAGGGGGTCTCAGGGGATCCCAGGGTGGTCTTGGGGGGTCCCAGGGGGTCCCAGGGTGGTCCCAGGAGGTTTTAGGGGATTTCAGGGGTTCCCAGGGGGTCCCAGGGGGTTTTAGGGGCTTCCAGGGTGGTCTCAGAGGGTTCCAGGGTGTCTCAGGGTATCCCAGGGTGGTCCTGGGGGGTCCCAGGGGGTCCCAGGGTGGTCCCAGGGGGTTTTAGGGGCTTCCAGGGTGGTCTCAGAGGATTCCAGGGTGTCTCAGGGGTGGTCCCAGGGTGGTTTAGGAGGTTCCAGGGTGGTCCCAGGGTGGTCCCAGAGTGGTTTAGGAGGTCCCAGGGTGGTCCCAGGGGGTCTTGGGTGTCCCAGGGTGGTCCCAGGGTGGTCCCAGGGGGTTTTAGGGGCTTCCAGGGGGTCCCAGGGTAGTTCCAGGGGGTTTTGGGGGGTTCCAGGAGGGTCCCAGGGTGGTCCCAGGGTGTTTTAGGGGCTTCCAGGGGGTCCCAGGGTGGTCCCAGGGGGTTTTAGGGGATTTCAGGGGTCCCAGGGGGTCCCAGGGTGGTCCCAGGGTCGTTTAGGAGGTTCCAGGGTGGTCCCAGGGGGTTTTGGGGGATTCCAGGGGGTCCCAGGGGGTTCCAGAGGCTTCCAGGGTGTTTTAGGGGCTTCCAGGGTGGTCTCAGAGGGTCCCAGGGTGGTCCCAGAGTGGTCCCAGGGTGGTCCCAGGGGGTTTTGGGGACTTCCAGGGGGTCCCAGGGTGGTCCCAGGGTCATTTAGGAGGTTCCAGGGTGGTCCCAGGGGTTTTGGGGGTTCCAGGGGGTCCCAGGGGTTTTGGGGGTTTCAGGGGTCTCAGGGTGGTCCCAGGTGGTCCTGGGGGTCCCTGCCCCCATGGAGGGCTGCAGGGGTGGGGGTCTCACCGGGAGCAGCCGGGGGGGGGTCTCTTCACCCCCATCTCCTCCACCCTGGCCTCGTAGATGCCGTTCAGGACCCCGTTCCCCAACTCGCACATCAACTGGGGGGACCCCCCCCCAAAAAAAAGATCACCTGGGGGCCCTCCGACCCCCAGCACCCCCAAACCCCCAAGAGCCCCCCAGTTCCCCCAGGGACCCCCAAGACCCCCAAGAGACCCCAACACCCCCAGGGACCCCCAAGAGACCCCCCAGCACCCCAGGGACCCCCAACCCCCCAACACCCCCAGGGACCCCAAACCCCCCAACACCCCCAGGGACCCCCCCAGCACCCCCAGGAGACCCCCAAGAAACCCCCAGTACCCCCAGAGACCCCCAAATCCCCCCAGCACTTCAGGGACCCCCACCAGCACCCCCAGGGACCCCCAAAACCCCCAAGAGACCCCCAGCACTCCAGGGACCCCTCAGCACCCCCAGGGACCCCAAGAGCCCCCAGCACCCCCAAGGACCCCCAAGACCCCCAAAACCACTCCCAGCACCTCAGGGACCCCAAGAGACCCCCCCCAGTTGCCCCCAGGGACCCCCAAAACCCCCAAGAGACCCCCAGCATCTCAGGGACCCCCAAGAGACTCCCCCAGCACCCCCAGGGACCCCAAAACCCCCAAGAGACCCCCTCAGCACCTCAGGGACCCCCAAGAGATCCCCTCAGTACCCCCAGGGACCCCCCAGCACCCCCAGGGACCCCCAAGAGACCCCCAAGCACCCCTAGGAACCCCCAAAATCCCCCAAGAGACCCCCAGCACCCCTAGGGACCCCCAAACTCCCCCAACACCCCAGGGACCCCCAAGAGACCCCCAAGCACCCCTAGGAACCCCCAAGACCCCCAAGAGACCCCCCAGCACCTCCAGGGACCCCCCCAACACCCCAGGACTTCAGGACCCCCAAGACCGCCCCCCAACACCCCCAGGGACCCCTCAAGACCCCCAAGAGACCCCCTCAGCACCCTCAGGGACTCCCAGCACCCCTGACCCCTCAGACCCCCAAGAGACTCCCCAGTCCCCCCCAGTACCCCAGGACCCCCAAGAGCCCCAGCATCCCCAGGACCTCCAAGACTCACCCCCAAGAGACCCCCCAGTACCCCCAGGACCCCAAGACCCCCAGCCCCCAGGACCCCAAGGGCCCTCAGCACCCCAGGGACCCCCTCAGCACCCCAGGGACCCTCAAGACCCCCAGCTCCCCAGGGACCCCAAGACCCCCAAAACCCTCCCAGCACCCCCAGGGACCCCCAAGAGCCCTCCCAGTTGCCCCCTAGCTTGCCCCAGTTACCTTCACCAGTTCGGGCTCCCACGAGTCCAACGTCAGCGAGCGAACCTTGAGAGTGAACCCCCAAACTCCTGGGGGAATTTGGGGGTCAAAGGGTCCCTGGGGGTCTGGGGGTTTTGGGGGTCCCTGAGGGTGCTGGGATCCCTTTGGGTAGGTTTGGGTGTCCCAGGGTGGATTTTTTGGGGGTTTTGGATTTTTTGGGGGTTGGATTTTTGGGGGTTTGGATTTTTGGGGTTTGGATTTTGGGGGTCTTGGATTTTGGGGGTCTTGGATTTTGGGGGTTTGGATTTTGGGGGCTTTGGATCTTTGGGGGTTGGATCTTTGGTGGGCTTTGACTTTGTGGATTTTGACTTTTGGGGGTTGGGACTTTCTGGGGTCTTGGACTTTTGGGATGGCTCTGACTTTGGGGCGTTGATCTTTGAGGATCTTGGATTTTGGGGCTTGACTTTTGGGGGCTTTGTGTCTTCGAGTGGTTTTGGGATCTTGGGGGTCCTTGATTCTGGGGGCCTGGACTTTAGGGGTTGATCTTTAGGGGTTGATCTTCTGGGGAGGCCTTGGATTTTAGGGGTTGGATTTTTGGGGGTGGATTTTTGGGGGCTTGGATTTCTGGGGGCTTTGGATTTTTGGGGGTTTTGATTTTTGGGGGTTTTGATTTTTGGGGAGGGGTTGGATTTTTGGGGGTTGAATTTTTGGGGGGGGTTGGATTATTTTGGGGGGTTTTGGATTTTTTTGGATTTTTTGGGGTTTTTTGGGGTGTTTTTGGGGTCAGGGGTGCCCGTTTTGGGGGTCTCCTCACCGGTGGATGCCGGAGCAGTGGATGCACAGGGGGATGCCCAGGTTTGGGACCCCGGGGGGGTTTGGGACCCCTCTGGGTGTGTTTGGGATCCCTCTGGGTGGATTTGGGTGGGGTTTGATGCCCTGGGTGGGTTTGGGTGCCCTGGGTGGATTTTTTGGGGGATTTTGGATTTTTTGGGGGTTTTTTTGGGGTTTTTGGGGTCAGGGGTGCCCGTTTTTGGGGTGCCCTCACCGGTGGATACCGGAGCAGTGGATGCACAGGGGGATGCCCAGGTTTGAGACCCCGGGGGGGTTTGGGTGGGGTTTGATACCCTGGGTGGGTTTGGGTGCCCCGGGATGGATTTTTTGGGGTTTTTTGGGGGGTTTTTGGGGTCGGGGTGCCCGTTTTGGGGGTCTCCTCACCGGTGGATGCCGGAGCAGGGGATGCACAGGGGGATGCCCAGCTTTGGGACCCCGGGGGGGTTTTGGTGGGGTTTTGGTGTCCCGGGATGGATTTTTTTGGATTTTTTGGGATTTTTTGGGGGTTTTTGGGGTCAGGGGTGCCCGTTTTGGGGGTCTCCTCACCGGTGGATGCCGGAGCAGTGGATGCACAGGGGGATGTTGAATTGGGACCCCGGGGGGTTTGGGTGAGGTTTGGGTGGGTTTGATGCCCTGGGGTGGATTTTTTCAGGGGATTTTGGATTTTTTTGGATTTTTTTTGATTTTTTTGGGGGTTTTTGGGGTCAGGGGTGCCCGTTTTGGGGGTCTCCTCACCGGTGGATGCCGGAGCAGTGGATGCACAGGGGGATGTTGAACTGGGACCCCGGGGGGGGTTGGGTGGGTTTTGATACCCTGGGTGGGTTTGGGTGCCCCGGGATGGTTTTTTTTGGATTTTTTTTGATTTTTTTTAGGGTTTTTGGGGTCAGGGGTGCCCGTTTTGGGGTCTCCTCACCAGTGGATGCCAGAGCAGGGGATGCACAGGGGGATGCCCAGGTTTGGGACCCCGGGGGGGTTTGGGTGGGGTTTGATACCCTGGGTAGGTTTGGGTACCCCGGGATGGATTTTTTGGGGTTTTTTTGGGGTTTTTGGGGTCAGGGGTGCCCGTTTTGGGGTCTCCTCACCGGTGGATGCCCGAGCAGTGGATGCACAGGGTGATGCCCAGGTTCACGCTGGCCCACTCGGGGTGGGGGGCTCGGCAGTCGCAGCAGCTCCCGTTGCCCTCCGGCCCCAGCACCGCCCCCAGCACCTCCCACTCGGGGGGGGGGCCACGGGTGGGACCCCCCGACCCCGGCACCGACCACGCCCTCTCGGGGGCTGGGGAGAGGGGGTTAAACAAGGGGGGGGAAGGGGCGTTGGGAGAGGTTTTGGGGTCCCAAATCCCGCCCTCGGGAGGGTTTTGGGGTGCCCAGTCCCACCCAGAGAGGATTTGGGGGTCCCTTTTCTACCCAAAGAGGGGTTGGGGGTTCCTGATACCCCCAGAAAGGGTTTTGGGGTCCCCAGTCCCACCCAAAGAGAGTTTTGGGGTCCCTTTCCCACTCACAGAGGATTTGGGGGTCCCCAGTCCTACCCAAAGAGGGGTTTGGGGTCCCCAGTCCCACCCAAAGAAGGGTTTGGGGGTCCCTGATCCCACCCAAAGTGGGTTTTGGGGTCCCTTTCCCATTCACAGAGGATTTGGGGGTCCCCAATCCCACCCAAAGAAGGGTTTGGGGGTCCCTGATCCCACCCAAATGGGGTTTTAGGGTTCCCAATCCCACCCAAAGTGGGTTTTGGGGTCCCTGATCCTCCCCAAAGAGAGTTTTGGGGTCCCTTTCCCATCCACAGAGGATTTGGGGGTCCCCAGTCCCACCCAAAGAGGGATTTGGGGGTCCCTTTCCCACCCACAGAGGATTTGGGGGTCCTCAGTCCCACCCAAAGAGGGGTTTTGGGGTCCCTGATCCCACCCAAAGAAGGGGTTTTGGGGTCCCTTATCCCACCCACAGAGGGGTTTTGGGGTGCCCAGTCCCACCCAAAGAGGGGTTTGGGGGTCCCTTTCCCATCCACAGAAGGGTTTTGGGGTCCCTGATCCCACCTCAGGGGGGTTTTAGGGGGGCTCAGGGTGGTTTGAGGGGCTCAGGGTGTTTGGGGGTATTTTGGGAGGGGTTTTTGGGGTACCCACCTGCCCAAAGGGGGTGTTTTGGGGCTCAGGGTTTTAGGGGGTCTCAGGGTGTTTTGGGGGTGCTTTTGGGGTACCCACCTGTCCCTGGGAGGGATTTTGGGGGCTCAGGGATTTTGGGGGTTCTGAGGGTGTTTTGGGGGGTGTTTTTGGGGTACCCACCTGTCCTGGGGAGGGTTTTGGGGGTCTCAGGGTGTTCTGGGAGGGTTTTGGGGGCTCAGGGTATTTTGGGGGGTATTTTTGGGGTACCCACCTGTCCTGGGGGGTTTTGGGGTCTCAGGGTATTTCAGGGGGTGCTTTTTGGGGTACCCACCTGTCCTGGGGGAGGGTTTTGGGGGCTCAGGGGGTTTTGGGGGCTCAGGGTGTTCTGGGAGGGGTTTTGGGGGCTCTAGGGTATTTTGGGGTTCTTCCAGGGTATTTTGGGGGCTCAGGTTGTTTGGGGGCTCAGGGGTTTTCAGGGTGCTGTGAGGACGTTTCCAGGGGGTGTTTTTGGGGTACCCACCTGTCCCTGGGGGCTGGGTGAGGTTGGGGGGCTCAGGGTATTTTGGGGGGTGGTTTTGGGGGGCTCAGGGAGGTTTTGGGGTCTCAGGGTGTTCTGGGAGGGCTTTGGGGGCCTTCAGGGATTTTTGGGGTATTTTGGGAGGGGTTTTTGGGGTACCCACCTGTCCTGGTTTTGGGGGGCTCAGGGTATTTTGGGGGGGTTTGGGGGCTCAGGGTTTTCAGGGGTGCTGAGAACGTTTCAGGAGGTGTTTTTGGGGTACCCACCTTGGCCCTAGGGAGGGTTTTGGGGCGCTCAGGGTGTTTAGGAAGGGTTTTGGGGTACCCACCTGCCCTGGGGGCTTTGGGGATCTCAGGGTATTCTGGGGGTGTTTTGGGGTACCCACCTGGCCCTAGGGGAGGTTTTGGGGGCGCTCAGGGGTTTTCAGGGGTGCTGAGGCACGTTTCAGAGGTGTTTTGGGGTACCCACCTGGCCCGGGGGAGGGAGTTTGGGGGCTCAGGTTGTTCTGGGAGGGGCTTTGCGGGGCTCAGGGGTTTTCAGGGATGCTGAGGACGTTTCAGGGGAGTGTTTTTGGGGTACCCACCTGCCCAGGGAGGAGGTTTTTCAGGGCTCAGGGGGTTTTGGGGGCTCTCAGGGGTTTTCAGGGGTGCTGAGGACGTTTCAGGGGGTGTTTTTGGGGTACCCACCTGCCCTGGGGGAGGTTTTGGGGGGCTCAGGGTGAAGGCCCTGCCGATGCTCGTCTGCACCGCCCGCAGCCACCGGCGCTGCTGCCCCCCCGAATCCGCCTGCAGGACACACAACCTGGGGGGGAAAGGGGGATTTTGGGGGACCCCAGGGGGGTTTGGGGCACCCCCAGAGGGTTTGGGGTCCCTTCCTTATTTTTTTGGGGTCCCTTCCTAATTTTTGGGTCCCTTCCTGATTTTTTCGGGTCCCTTCCTGATTTTTTTGGGGTCCCTTCCTGATTTTTGGACCCCCATCCTGATTTTTTGGGGTCTCTTCCTGATTTTTGGGGGTCCCTTCCTGATTTTTGGACCCCCTTCCTGATTTTTTGGGGTCCCTTCCTGATTTTTTCAGGTCTCTTCCTGATTTTTGGGGGTCCCTTCCTGATTTTTGGGGGTCCCTTCCTGATTTTTTGGGGGGATTTTGGGGTCCCCCCAAAGGGTTCTGGGGTCCCCCCAAGGGGTTTTGGGGTCACTCAGGAGGGATTTGGGGTCTCTTGGGGGGAGATTTGGGGATCCCTGGGGTTGTTTTGGGGATTTTAAAGGGTTTAGGGGATTTTGGGGTCAGGGGATTTTGGAGCCCTCACCTTTGGGGGTCGGGGGGTTTTGGGGTCCCCTCAGATTTTGGGGTCCCCCCAAGGGGTTTTGGGGTCACCCAGGAGGGACTTGGGGTCCCTTTGGGGGAGATTTGGGGATCCCTGGGGTTGTTTTGGGAGGGATTTTAAAGGGTTTTGGGTGGATTTTCGAGGGTCTAGGGGATTTTGGGGCCCCACATTTTCTAGGGGTCAGGGGATTTTGGGGTTCCCTGCTCGAGTTCTAGGGGTCCTCAATGAAGAGGAGCTCTTTGGGGGGTTTTTGGGGCCCTCACTTGGAGGGCGATTCTGAGTTTTGGGAGGGGGAAATTCTTGAAGTTTGGGTGGATTTTAAAGGGTTTGGGGGATTTTGAGCCCTTGGGGTCGGATTTTGGGGTCCTGGTTTTTGGTCCCCTCTAAAGGGTTTTGGGGGTTTTGGGTCACTGAGGGCGATTCGAGTTTTGGGAGGGGGAAATTTTAGTTTGGGTGATTTTAGCGGTTTGGGGGATTTGAGCCCTCTTGGGGTCGGGGATTTTGGGGTCCCCTCGGGTTCTGGGGTCCCCCCAAAGGGTTTTGGGGGGTTTTTTGGGGCTCACTTGGAGGGTGAGAGCACCTCGAAGCAGAAGCGGCTGCTGAGGTCGTGGCAGGGTTTGACGGTGCAGAGCCGAAGATCCTCCACCACCACCGTGGGGGTCCTGGGGAAGACCCCAAAACACCCCAAAACCCCCAAAAACTGGCACCCCAAAAACCCGGGCCCACAAAATGGCACCCCAAAATTACCCCCTAAAAAGTGAAACCCTAAACCTGACCTCTAAAACTGAACCCCAAACCAAACCCAACCCCCAAACCCTTCCTCCAGACCCCCCAAAGACCCCCTCAGACCCCACCCAGTCCCCCAAGACCCCCAAGAACCCCCCAAACCCCTCCCCAGCCCTCCCTAAACCCCCAAGACCCCCCTTGAGCCTCCACCCCCTAAGCCTCCTAATACCTCCCAAACCCTAATCCCCCAAGACCCCCCTAAATCCCCCAAAGACCCCCTAAACCCCACCCAGCCCCCTAAGACCCCCAAGACCCCCAAATCCTCCCAAAGACCCCTCAGACCCCCACAGACACTCCAAAGTCCCCACCCAACCCTCCCAAACCCCACCCAGCCCCCTAAACCCCCAAGAACCCCCTTGAGCCCCCCAAGACCCCCTAGACCCCCTAAACCCCCCAAGACCTCTCCAAAGCCCCCAAACCCCCCCAGACCCCCCCAAAAACCCCCCAGACCCCCACCCAGCCCCCAAAACCCCCCAAGACCCCCCACAGACCCCCACATCCCGACCCACCTCCCAAACCCCACTCCAGACCCTCCCAAACCCCACCCAGCTCCCCCCAAACCCCACCCAGACCCCCCAAAGCCCCCAACCCCACCCAGCCCCCCCCAAGACCCCCCAGACCCCCCCAGCCTCCGCAGACCCCCACTCGCCCACAGACCCCAACTCACCCAGCCCCCCAAAACCCTCCACAGACCCCCATCCAAGACTTCCCTAGCTCTCCCAGACCCACCCGGGCCCGGTTTCAGGTAGACCAGTTGGTTGTTCCTGATGAAGAACCAGCGCCTGGGGGAGGGGAACAAAGAGACCCCAAATTGGGGTGGGGGGTAGAGACAAGGGGTGCAGGGAGACCCAAAACCTCGGAGGGGACCCCAAACCCACACAGGGGGACTCACAAATCCTCTTTGGGGGCTGCAGAGAGGGAATTTGGGGTGGTTTTGGGGGTCCTGGGGGATTTGGGGTGTGATTCGGGGTGTGGATTCTGGGGTTTTGGGGCATTTTGGGGGGCGTTTTGGGGGGTTCTGGGGTGTATTTGGGGTATTTTGGGGGTAGTTTTGGGGGGTTCCATGGTGCACTGGGGGGTGTTTTGGGGTATTTGGGGGGTTCCAGAGGATACTGGGGGGTGTTTTGGGGTGGTTTTGGGGCGTTTTGGGCTGTTTTGAGGGTTCCAAGGTGGATTTGGGGGCTGTTTTGGGGTGGTTTTGTGGCGATTGGGGGTATTTTGGGCTATTTTGGGTTGGTTTTGGGTTGTTTTTCAGGTGGTTTTGGGGTGGTTTTGGGGTGGTTTGGGGTGGTTTTAGGGTGCTTTGGGGTGCTTTGGGCTATTTTGAGTTGGTTTTGGGGTGGTTTGGGGTGGTTTTGGTTGGTTTTGGGGTGGTTTTAGGGTGGTTTTAGGGTGTTTTGGGGTATTTTGGGCTATTTTGGGTTGGTTTTGGGGTGGTTTGGGGTGGTTTTGGTGGTTTTGGGGTGGTTTTGTGGTGGTTTCAGGGTGGTTTTGGGGTATTTTGGGCTATTTGGGGTTGGTTTTGAGTTGTTTTTAGGGTGGTTTTAGGGTGGTTTGGGGGTATTTGGGTTGTTTTGGGGTGTTTGGGGGTATTTTGGGGTGGTTTTGGGGTATTTTGGGGTGGTTTTGGGGTGTTTTGAGGTGTTTTTGGGGTATTTTGGGGGTGGTTTTTTTGGGTACCTGCTCCAGGTGCGGAAGGCGTTGCTGGCTCTCTTGTACAGGTAACCCTCCATGGGCGGGGCCTCAGGCCCCGCCTCCTCCAAGACCCCGCCCACCGCCTCCTGTGATAGGTCCTGGGGGGTTGTCCGTCATCATGGCCCCGCCCACAACCTCCTGGCCCCGCCCCCTTGCTCGTGTTGCCTCCCCATTGGCTGGGGGGGATCAAACCACGCCCCCACCACACATTGAGATGTCAATCAAATAAAGCCCCACCCCCCATGGGCTGTCAATCAACTTTCTGATGAGCTGTCAATCAATGTCTGTCGGGTTGGCCCCGCCCACACCCTCATGTCAATCACAGCTGGCCCCGCCCACACACACCAATCAATCAATCAATCAATCAATCAACTGGTCCGCCCTCCTGTCAATCCAGACTGACCCCGCCCCTTCATGTCACCAATCAGGTGAAGCCCCGCCCACTCACGCGGCCCCGCCCTCACAGCGACCACGCCCACCTCATCAACATAGCCACGCCCCCAAATATCCCAGGCCACACCCCCAAACCCCACAGTTTTGTGCTTTGGCCACGCCCCCTCCCCAGTTTGGTTCCACTCCCTGAATCAGACCACGCCCCCCGAGTCCAGGCCACGCCCCACACCCCCAATAAAACCCCTCCCCCTCCTTTTGGCTCCACCCTTACTGGGTAAGACCACGCCCCATCCATGACCACACCCCCTTTGTCCTGGCCACGCCCCCATGCCCTGGCCACGCCCACCGCCCTGGCCACGCCCACCTCACTGGCCACGCCCACCTCCCTGGCCACGCCCACCTGCTGCATCAGGAGGTGGTGCCGCTGCTCCAGGTCCCGCTGCCGCCGCGCCCCCTCCAGCTCCCACCGCTCCAGCTGGGGGGGAACCCCAAAAATGGGGTCATCCCTGACCCCCAAATCCTTGGGGAACCCCCAGATCCTTGGGGAGCCCCCAAATCCTTGGGGAGCCCCCAAATCCTTGGGGAGCCCCCAAATACCTTGGAAAACCCCAGGAACCCCCAGATCCTTGGGGAGCTCCCAAATCCCTGGGGAGACCCCAAATCCCTGGGGAGCCCCCAAATCCCTGGGGGACTCCCCAAATCCTTGGGGAGTCCCCAAATCCCTGGGGAGCCCCCAAATCCTTGGGGAACCCCCCAAATCCTGGAGAACCCCCCAAATCCTGGAGAACCCCCAAATCCTTGGGGAGCCCCCAAATCCCTGAGGAGCCCCCCTGGACCCTCCAAATCCCTGGGGAGCCCCCAAATCCCTGGAGAACCCCCCAAGTCCTTGGGGAGCCCCCATATCCCTGGGGAACCCCAAATACCTTGGAAACCCCCAGATCCCTGGAGAACCACCCCAAATCCTTGGGGAGCCCCCAAATCCCTGGGCAACCCCCCAGACCCTCCCAGGACCCCCCAAATCCCTGGGGAACCCCCAAATCCCTGGGGCACTCCCCGGATCCCCTCGGGACTCCCCAAATCCCTGGGGAACCCCCAAATCCCTATGGACACCCCCCCCCCGGGGTGGATTTTGGGGGTCCCCTGTGTGTGTAGTGGGAGGGGGTCTCTTGGGAAGGTTTTGGGGGGTTTTTTGGTGTATCCCTGAGAGGTGGGATTGGGGTTTTTTTTGGGGGGGAATGGGGGGGTTTTGGGGGTCCCACCTGCGCCCCCAGGTGGCCCCGGAAGTCGCGGGTCTCGATCTCCCCCTGGTGGCCGCGGGTGTAAAACGCGGCCTGAGCCTCGAGCAGCGACAGCACCTTTGGGTGGGGTGGGGGGACAAGGGGTCAGTGCCACCCCTGGGACCCCCAAAAATCCCTCTCGAGTCACCCAGAGCCTCCTCGGGACCCCCAAATCCCCCTTGGAACACCCAGACCCCACCCAGGACCCCCAGATCCCCCTTGGGACACCCAGACCCACCCAGGACCCCTCAGATCCCCTTGGGAGCCACAGACCCCACCCAGGACCTCTAGATCCCCCTTGGGACACCCAGACCCCACCCAGGACCCCCAAATTCCCCTTGGGACACAGACCCCACCCAAGACCCCCAAATTCCCCTTGGGACCCACAGACCCCACCCAGGACCCCCAAATCCCCCTCAGGACCCACAGACCCCTCCCCCAAATCCCTTCCAAAGACCCCCAAAAACCTCAGAGACCCAGGCACCCCCCAGGTCAACAGGAACCCCAAATACCCCCAGGAGCCCCCAAAATCCCAGCCCAGCATCCCCAAAACCTCTCCAGGGACCCCCAAATCCCTGAGGAAACCCCAAATTCCTCCCCCAGAGACACCACCCCCTCAAATCCCTTCCAGAGAACCCCCAAAAGCCCCCTCAGGAACCCAGGGACCCCCAAAATCCATTTGGACCCCCAAGACCCTCCCAGACCCCCTCAAATCCCACTCACGAACTGCAGAATCTCCGTTTTCTTCTTGTCTTCCATCACGTTGAGCTGAGGGGGAGGTTTAAACCACGCCCCTCATGACCACGCCCATTAAAACCACGCCTCATCATGCCCCACCCCCAGAGACCCCACCCTACAAGTCCCACCCTTCGACCCCACCCTCCCCAAGCCCCACCCCCAGGTGCCACACCCTCGGGCCCCACCCAAAAGCCCCACCCTCCGTGGTTATTCCTGTTCTAGCCCTCGCCCACCCCTCAGGACACGCCCACTCAAGCTCCTCCCCTCCATTCACATTCACCGCTCTAGTCCTGCCCCTCTCGCTCAAGCCCCACCCCCTCAAGCCCCGCCCACCTGCAGGGTGTGCCCCACCCTGGCTGTGGCCACACCCACCCCATTAAGCCCCACCCACTCTATTAAGCCCGCCCACCTGCAGGACATAGTCCAGCCCGGGCTCTGGCCACGCCCACCCCATTAAGCCCCACCCACCCTATTAAGCCCCACCCACCTGCAGGGTGTGCCCCCACCCTGGCTGTGGCCACACCCACCCCATTAAGCCCCACCCACTCTATTAAGCCCGCCCACCTGCAGGACGTAGCCCAGCCCGGGTTCTGGTCACGCCCATCACATTAAGCCCCACCCCTCTGTAAGCCCCGCCCACCTGCAGGGTATGCCCCACCCCGGCTGTGGCCACGCCCACCTCGTTCAAGCCCCGCCCACCTGCAGGGTGTGCCCACCCCTGGCTGTGGCCACGCCACCCCATTAAGCCACACCCACTCTATTAAGCCCCGCCCACCTACAGGGTATGTCCCGCCCCCCTGGCTGTGGCCACACCCACCCCATTAAGCCCACCCACTCTATTAGCCCCGCCCACCTGCAGGACATAGTCCAGCCCTCGGGCTCTGGCCACGCCCACCCATTAAGCCCCACCCACTCTATTAAGCCCCGCCCACCTGCAGGGTGTGCCCCCACCCCTGGCTGTGGCCACGCCCACCCCATTAAGCCCCACCTGCAGGGTATGCCCCACCCCTGGCAGTGGCCACCCATCCATTAAGCCCCACCCACTGTATTAGCCCCGCCACCTGCAGCATAGTCCAACCGGGCTCTGGCCACGCCCACCCATTCGCCCCACCCATCCCATTAGCCCACCCACCTGCAGCACGTAGTCCAGCCCCCGGGTTCTGGCCACGCCCACCCCATTAAGCCCCACCCACTCTATTAAGCCCCGCCCACCTGCAGGACGTAGTCCAGCCCCCGGGCTCTGGCCACGCCCCTGGCCCCGCCCAGCGCCGCCGCCGCCTCCTGAGCCTCCAGGGGGCGCCGTCGCGGCACCTCCGCGTGGTGCTGCAGCGCCCCCTGCAGGGCGTCCAGGGCACGGGCACGGTCCCGGCCCAGCGAGCGGAGACCCCGGAGACCCCTGGAGTGACCCCCAAATTGGGGGGGTGAGAACCCCAACCACAGCCAGACCTCTGGAGTTACCCCCAAATTGGGGGGGTGAGACCCCCAACCACACCCAGACCCCACAGACCCCAAATTGGGGGTTAAATCCCACCCTGAGACCCCCAAACCCCACCCAGACCCCTGGAGTGACCCCAAATTGGGGTTAAATCCCACCCTGAGACCCCCAAACCCCACACAGACCCCTGGAGTGACCCCCAAATTGGGGGTTAAATCCCACCCTGAGACCCCCCCAGACCCCACACAGACCCCCACAGACCCCTGCAATGATCCCAAATTGGGGGTTAAATCCCACCCTGAGACCCCCAAACCACACAGACTCCCCAGAACCCCTTGAATGACCCCAAACTGGGGGGACTGAGACCCCTCAGACCCCACACAGACACCTGGAATGACCCCAAATTGAGGGGGCTGAGACCCCCCCAGACCCCAGAGTCCCCCAAGAGTGACATGGCGGGGGGAACCTCTGCCCTGACCCCCCCCAGAACCCCCGACGACCCCCCCAGAACCCCCAGGACCCCCTGGCCCCACTCACTCCCGGAGCAGGGGCTGGAGGTGCCTCCTGAGGGCGCTCTGGGTGCAGCTCCGCAGCTCCTGGGGGCGGGGCCGAGGAAGAAAAGGGGCGTGGTCAAATCAGAGGAGGCGTGGTCAGACCAGAAAGGGCGTGGCAAAAGACAGGAAGGGGTGTGGTCATGTAAAAAGGGGCGTGGCTTGGCAAACGGTGGGAATTTCGGGAAGGGGCGTGGTCAGGGAGTGGCCTACTCCAAAGAGGGCGTGGTTTTGGGTGGGTGTGGATTTTGTGGGCGTGGCCTGGGTGGGAGGGGCGTGGCCAGCACTGAAAGGGGTGGAGAAAGGCGGGGATTGGGATAGGATGGGGCTTGCGAGGAAGGGGGCGTGGTCTGTGTGAAGAGGGCGTGGTTTTGGGTAGGGGCGTGGTCGGGATGTGGGCGGGGTCCGATGGAAAAGGGGCGTGGCCTGCTGACCTCGTGGCTGTCCATCATCTGCTCCAGGGAGTCACAGAACCTCTCCAGGGCCTCCTGGGGGGTCCCGAGGAGGGTCACGGGGCTCCATCCCTCTACCCCCAAAGACCCCCAACCTTCCCTGAGCCCCCAAAACCTCCAGGGACCCCCAACTCCCCCTCGAGACCCTCCCACCCTGCCCACTCCCATCCCCCAAGACCCCCAATTTGGGGGTTGTTTTTCCTCATCCAGACCCCTCATTTTGGGACACTCCACCCCTTGGACCCCTCCCCCCCCACCCAGGGATTTTGGGGGGGAGGTCTCACCTTCACCAGGGGGCCCCCCCGGGGGGTCCCCGCGAGCTCCCTGAGCCCCGCGGAGAAGGCGCGGCTGGAACATTCCAGAACCCGCCCGGCCTCCAATGCCGCCCAGCACAGTTTGGACACCTGGGGGGGGACCCCAAAATCACCCCAGAAACATCCCAAAATCACCCAGAAAATCATCCCTAAAATCGTCCCAAAAATGATCCCCAAATCACCCCAGAATCCCCCCCAAAACACCCCAAAAATCATCCTACAATCATTCCAAAATCATCCCAAAATCACCCCAAAATCATCCCAAAAATGATCCCAAAATCACCCCAGAATCACCCCCAAAACACCCAGAAAATCATCCTACAATCATTCCAAAATCATCCCAAAATCACCCCAAAAGCACCCCAGAAATCATCCCAAAATCACCTCCAAATCACCCTTAAATCACCCCAAAAATCGTCCCAAAAATGACCCCAAAACCACCCCCAGAATCATCCTAAAATCACCCCAAAAATCATCCCAAAATCACCTCAAAATCTGAGCAGAGTTTGGACACCTGGGGGGACCCCAAAATCACCCCAGAAACACCCCAAAATCACCCCAAAAATCATCCCAAAAGTCATCCCAAAAATCATCCCAAAATCACCTCCAAAATCACCCTAAAATCACCCCAAAAATCATCCCAGAATTACCCCAAAAACACCCCCAAAATCATCCTAAAATCACCCCAAAAATCATCCCAAAACCACCTCAAAATCTGAGCAGAGTTTGGACACCTGAAGGGACTAAAAATCACTAAACTTTAAAATCACTAAAAAAGTGTCAAAATTATCCCCAAATCACCCCCAAAAATCACCCCAAAATCACCCCCAAAACACCCCAAAATCACCCCAAAACCACCCCAAAATTACCCCAAAAATCATGCAAAAATCACCCCAAAACCTGAGCACACCTCGGATACACCTGGGGGGGACCCCCAAAAACCCACCCAGGGTCACCCCAAAGCCCCCCAACCCCCTCTCCCCAGGACCCCCAATCCATTCCCTCCTCAAACACCTGGATCCCCCCACCCCAAGATTTTGGGGTGTCCCCCTGATTTTGGGGTCCCCCACCTTCTCCAGGTGGGTCTCGGAGATTCGGCCACGTCGGACTCGGCCTCTTCTACAGCCGCCCTGGGGGGGGTTTGGGGGTGATTTTGGGGGTCACTGAGGGGTTTTGGGAGTCAGGGGGTCAGGGAGGTCCTGGGGTGTTTGGGGTGATTTTGGGGGTCACTGAGGGGGTTTGAGGGGTCAGGAGGGGCTGGGGGTGATTTTGAGGGTCACTGAGGGGTTTGGGGAGGGGCTGGGGGTGATTTTGGGGGTCACTGAGGGGTTTGGGGGTCAGAGGGGCTTGGGAAGGGGCTGGGGGATCATTTTGGGGGTCACTGAGGGGGTTTGGGGATCAGGGAGGGTCAAGGAGGGTCTTGGGGGTGTTTTGGGAGTGATTTTGGGAGGGGTCACTGAGAAGGGGTTTGGGGAGGCTCAGGGAAGGGTCCTGGGGGTGTTTGGGGAGTGATTTTGAGGGGGTCACTGAGGGGTTTGGGGGGGTCAGAGGGTCAGGGAGGGTCCTGGGGGTGTTTGGGGAGCATTTTGGGGTCACTGAGGGGTTTGGGGGGTCAGAGGGTCAGGAGGCTGGTTGGGGGCGATTTTGGGGGTCACTGAGGGGTTTGGGGGGTCAGAGGGTCAGGGAAGGGTGCGCTGGGGGTGATTTTGGGGTCACTGAGGGGTTTGGGGGTCAGGGGGGGCTTGGGAAGGGGCTGGGGGTGTCTAGAGAGGGTCACTGAGGGGTGGAGTGATCAGGAGGGTCCTGGGGGGTTGGGAGTGATTTGGGGGTCACTGAGGGGTTTGGGGGTCAGAGAGGCTTGGGAAAGGGCTGGGGGTGATTTTGGGGTCACTGAGGGGTTTGGGGGCAGATTTTGGGGGTCACTGAGGGGTTTGGGGGTCAGAGGGGGTCAGGGAGGGTCCTGGGTGTGTTTGGGGCGATTTTGGGGTCACTGAGGGGTTTGGGGGTCAGGGGGTCAGGAGGGTCCTGGGTGTGTTGGGGGCGATTTTGGGGTCACTGAGGGGGTTTGGGGGTCAGAGGGCTTGGGAAGGGGCTGGGGGTGATTTTGGGGGTCACTGAGGGGGTTTGGGGGTCAGGGAGAGAGGTCCTGGGGGTGTTTGGGGTGATTTTGGGGGTCACTGAGGGGTTTGGGGGTCAGGAGGGGCTGGGAGTGATTTTGGGGGTCACTGAGGGGCTTTGGGAGAGGTCAGAGAGGGTCCTGGGTGTGTTTGGGGTGATTTTGGGGGTCACTGAGGGGTTTGGGGGTCAGGAGGGCTGGGAAGTGATTTTGGGGGTCACTGAGGGGGCTTTGGGGATCAGAGGTCAGGGAGGGTCCTGAGGGCTTGGGGGTGATTTTGGGGGTCACTGAGGGGTTTGAGGGGTCAGGAGGGTCCTGGGTGTGTTTGGGAGTGATTTTGGGGTCACTGAGGGGTTTGGGGGTCAGGGAGGGGCTGGGGAGTGATTTTGGGGGTCACTGAGGGGTTTGGGGGCTCAGGGAGGGTCCTGGGGTGTTGGGGTGATTTTGGGGTGAGTTTTGGGGTGTTTGGGGGTCCTGAAAGTGATTTGGGGGATTCGGAGTTTTGGGGGTCCAGGGTGGTTCCTGAGAGGGATTTGGGAGGATCCAGGAGAAGGGTGGATTTGGGGGTGCCAGGATGGGTTCAGGGGTCAGGGAGGTGAAGGGGTGGATTTGGGGTCTTGGATGGGTCAGGGGTGATTTTGGGGGTCGTGGGGGTTTGAGGGCCACTTTTGGGGTGTTTTGGGGGTCTGGGGGTTAGAGTGATTTGGGTGATCTTGGGGGTTGGGGGTGGGATTTGGGGTGATTTAGGGAGTTAGGGTGTGATTTGGGGTGATTTTGGGGGTCTTGGGTGAGTCAGGGGTGATTTTGGGGGGGTCTCGGGGTTTTGAGGGTCACTTTTGGGGTGTTTTGGGGTCCCAGGCGTGTCAAGGACTGGTTTTTGGGGTGATTTGGGGCCCCCGGGTGTTTCGGAGTTGCTTCGGAGGTGCCACCACAGGACACGTTTTTTGGGGGAGGGGAGGGGAAGGAAATTGGGGGAGGCCCCAAAAACGACTGCTTGTGGTGGGGGGTCCAGGGGGCTCTCAGGGGAATGCTGAAGGTGGGAGGAGGTCTCAGGGGGTCCTGGGGGGTGCTGAGGGTGGGGGGTGGTCCCAAGGGGGTCCTGGGGGTCTCAGAGTGACGCAGAGCGCAGGTTGGGGTCACCAGAGGTCACAGGTGCCCTCTCCCCACCGTCCCATTTCCTGCCCCTCCCCACCAACCTGCGGTGGGAAACCACTTCCTTTGGGGAGGGAGGGGAAGGGGGGTCCTGGGGGGCTTAGGGGTGTCCTGGGAGGGTTTGGGGGTCCTGGAGAGGTCTAGGAGGGTTTGGGGGAGGTTTGGGGTGTCCTGAGGGAGTCTGGGGGTCTCAGAGTGATGCTGAGGGTGGGGGTCCTGGAGTGTCCCGGGAGGTCCCGGGGTCTGGGGTCCGGGGGTCTGGGGTCCCAGAGTGATGCTGAGTGGGGGGTGTCCCGTGGGGTCTCTGGGGTCCCGGGAGTCCTGGGGATCCCAGAGTGATGCTGAGGGTGGGGGTTCCAGGGGGTTCCTGGGGGTCTCAGGGGATCCTGAGTGGGGGTCCCAGGGGTCCTAGGGGTCCTAGCGGGGTCTCAGAGTGATGTTGAGTGTGGGGGTGTCTTGGGGGTCCCAGGTGGTCTCAGGGTTCAGAGGATTGGGGTGTCCTGGGGTCCTCAGGGGGTCTCAGAGTGATGCTGAGTGTGGGGGTCCCGGGGGTCTCGGGGGTCTCAGGGGGATCCTGAGTGTGGGGGGTCCTGGGGGTCCTCAGGGGGTCTCAGAGTGGTGCTGAGTGTGGGGGTCCTGGGGGTCTCAGAGTGATGCTGAGTGTGGGGGTCCAGGGGGTCTCAGAGTGATGCTGAGTGTGGGGGTGTCCTGAGGGGTCCTGGGGTCCCGGGGGTCTCAGGGGTCTCAGAGTGATGCTGAGTGTGGGGGTCCTGGGGGATCCCGGGGGTCCTGGGGTGTCCGGGGGGTCCTGTGGGGGTCCTAGGGGGTCTCACAGTGATGCTGAGTGTGGGGGTGTCCTGAGGGGTCCCGGGGTCCTGGGGTCCTGAGGGGTCCCGGGGCTCTCAGAGTGATGCTGAGTGTGGGAGGATCCGGGGGTCCGGGGTCCTGAGGGGGTCCTGGGGGTCTCAGAGTGATGCTGAGTGTGGGGGTCCCGAGGGGTCCTGGGGTCTCAGAGTGATGCTGAGTGTGGGGGTGTCCTGGGGTGTCTCGCGGGGGTCTCAGGGGATCCTGAGTGTGGGGGTCCCGGGGGTCCTGGGGGTCTCAGAGTGATGCTGAGTGTGGGGGTCCTGGGGTGTCCTGGGGGTCCCTGTGGGGGTCCTGGGGTCTCACAGTGATGCTGAGTGTGGGGGTGTCCTGAGGGGTCCCAGGGGTCCTGAGGGGGTCCTGGGCGTCCTGGGGGTCTCAGAGTGATGCTGAGTGTGGGGTTGTCCTGAGGGGTCCTGGGGTCTCAGGGGGTCCTGGGGGTCTCAGAGTGATGCTGAGTGTGGGGTTGTCCTGAGGGGTCCTGGGGTCTCGGGGGTCCTGGGGTCTCAGAGTGATGCTGAGGTGAGAGTGTCCCGAGGGGTCTCGGGGTCCTGGGGTCCAGGGGTCTCAGGGATGCTGAGTGTGGGGGTGTCCTGAGGGGTCCAGGGGGTCTCGGGGGTCCCGGGCGGGTTGTACCTGAACCAGGGCGAGTCCTCAGACACTCCTCGAAGTTCAACTTCACGGTCATGGCTTGGGGGATGGGGGTCCTGGGGGTCCCGTGACAGGGGAAGGGTCCCAGGGGGTCCTGGGGGTCCTGGGTCGGGGCCGTGGCGGTGCCAGGACGTGGCTGGTGCCGACGGGGCTGAGGCGGCTCCGCCCCGGGGAGGACACGGGGGGAGGACACGGGGGGAAATGAGGGGGATTTGGGGGGTTTGGGGGATTTGGGGGTTTGAGGGGGTGGGGGAAGCCGTGGGGGTTTTGGGGAGGGGGATTTGAGGGGGATTTGAGGTGATGGGGGAGGATTTTGGGAGGGGGAATTTGGAGGTTTGGGGGGGCGGGAATTTGGGGTGGTTGGGAGGGGTCGGAGGGTTGTGGGGGTGGGGATTTGGGGGATTTGGGGGGATTTGGGGGATTTGGGGGCTGGGGGTCATAGGGGGTAACAGAAGGAGAGGGAATTTGGGGGTGGATTTGGGGGTCGGGGGGTGATGGGGGTGGGAGTGAGAATTTTAGGGGATTCTGGGGGGTCTGGGGGATTTCAGGGGATTTGGGGAGGATTTGGGAGGTAGATGGGGGTCATGGGAGGGTAACAGAGAGAGTGGGAATTTGGGGGCAATTGGAGAGATTGGGGGTGGGATGGGGGTCATGAGGTGGGAATTTGGGGGAATTCGGGGGTTTGGGAGAAATTTGGGGAGGGGGATGGGAGGTCAGGGAGGTCACGAAAGGAGGGGAATTTGGAGGAATTTGGGGTCTGGGTGGATCAGGAGCGTTGTGAAGGGTCGGGAATTCGGGGATTGGATTGAGGGGAATTTGAAGGGGGATTTGAGGGATTTTGGGGGAGTTTGGGGGTCCGTGGAGGTGACGGGGGTGGGGGGTCCGGGGTGAGGAATTTGGGGTGGTTGTGGAAAGGGGGATCAAGGGGGGGTTGAGTGGGAATTTTGGGGGAGGGGATTTGGGAGGTCGATATAATTATAATAATTATGGTAATATAAACTAAATATGATAACATAAAAATAATGAAATATAATAAAAACATAATAAAACTTGACACGGAGTTCTGTTTGGAAGGCAATTCATATATACCAACTCGGGGTTATTTTTTTCGATGGGCAGAAAACCGAGAAACGTTGAATTTTAATATTAAATATTAACATTTAACAGCATTAACGATATTATAACATAATGACAGATACGTAATGTAACAGAAAAAAACCCCAAAACTATTAATACTTAATAATTTAAGAAGTAATTACTGATTAATATTTAATATTTAATATTTAATATATAATATTCAATGTTTAATATTCAACGTTTAACGTTTAGTGTTTAATATTTATTATTTACTATTTAATGTTCATTATCTGATATTTAATATTTATTATTTATTTAATGTTCATTATTTAATATTCGTTACTTGATGTTTAATATTTATTACTTATTTAATATTTAAAACTTATTATTTGTTTAATGTTCATTTTTCATTATTTAATATTTATTATTTATTTAATATTCATTATTTAATATTTATCATTTATCATTTATCATTTATTATTTACTTAATATTTATTATTTACTATTTAATATTCATTATTTAATATTCATGATTTAATTTTTATTATTTAATATTTATCGTTTATTATTTATTTAATATTTATTATTTATTATTCACTGTTTAGTATTTATTATTTACTATTTAATATTCATTATTGATATTTAATATTTAATATTTAATATCTTTACGCCCCGCCCACTGGAGAAATTTTCGCTCTGTTTTCCTTTGCGGCGCTGTCGCAACTGTCGCAAAAGCGTCGCGGCGTCGTCGGCGTCGTCGCTGCCGTCAAGCGCGCTCGCGGAGGAGGAAGGGAAGATGGCGGCCATGGCGGCCATGGCGGTGACGGCGCGGGAGCCGCGGGCAGGGCCGGGCCCCGCGGGGCTGCACCGGGACTGGACGGCAGAGCCCCTCAGCACCGGCGTGAGTGCCCCGGGACCCGCGGGGAGGGGGTGCTGGGGGGGGGTTGATGGTAAAGGAGACCCCCTCCCCCCAAAAAAAAGTGGGGCTGGAGGGAGGGGGCGGAGGGTTCTGCAGAGGTGGGAGGGGGGGATGTGGGGAGGGGTGGACGCGCTCTGTGGGGAGGGGCTGTGGGGCAGGGGCCGCTGGGGCACGGGGGCTGTAGGGCGGGGGTTCTGTGGGGAGGGGATTCTGTGGGGAGGGGGTTCTGTGGGGAGGAGGGTCTAAGGGGCAGGGGCTGCTGTGGGAGGAGATCTGTGGGGCAGGGGGATCTGTGGGGAGGGGGCTGCTGTGGGGAGGGGAGTCTGCTAGCACAAGGGGGTTTCTGTGGGGAGGGGGGTCTTGTAGGGGAGAGGGATTCTATGGGGGGGACTGTGGGAGGGGGCTGCTGTGGGGAGGGGGTTCTTTGGGAGGGGGCTTTGTGAGGGCAGGGGGTCTGTGGAATTGGGGGAATCTGTGGGGAGGGGGCTGCTGTGGGGACGAGGGGTCTCTGATGGGGCAGGGGGCTGGAGTGGAGGAGGGGATTCTGTGGGGAGGGGGGATCTGTGGGGAGGGGGATTCTGTGGGGCAGGAGGGCTATGGGGAGGGGGCTGCTGTGGGAGGGGGCTGCTGTGGCTCAGGGACCCCAGCGCAACCCCTCCCTCTTTTTCTCCCCTCCCCCACCCCCAGACCACCATCATGGCCGTGGAGTTCGACGGGGGCGTCGTCATCGGGGCCGACTCCCGAACCACCACCGGGTGAGGGTGATGTCATGATGATGTCACAATGACGTCATCAGTGACATCATTAGTGACATCACACTGCCCCGGGCCCTGCCAGAGGGGTTGTCACCTTGTCATGATATCACCATGACGTCATTGTGGTGTCATCATGACATCATCGTGATGTCACCCTCAAAACTCCGAGAGGAGCCCCCCCCCCCTCAAAATTCCTCCAAGAATCCTTTTTGAGGTTTTTTTTTGGCTATAATTCCTGAAAAAAAAACACCAAAAAACCCACCAAAAAAACCACCAACCCACCCTCCTCATCAGGTTAAAAAATCCCTCAGGGAACTGTTTGCCTCATGGTTTTTTTGGGGAAAAAAAAAAAACAAAACAAACAAGATTTTAAATCCCATGTTTAAATCCTTCCAGTCTGAAGGATTTCCTTCCTCTTCCTCCTCTTCTTCCTCCTTCTCCTCCTCCTCTTCCTCCTCCTCCTCCTCTTGCTCTTCCTCCTCCTCTTCCTCCTCCTCCTCTTCCTCCTCCTCTTCCTCCTCCTCCTCCTTCTTCTCCTCCTCCTCTTTCTCCTCCTCCTCCTCCTCCTCCTCGTCTTCCTCCTCCTCCTTCTCTTTCTCCTTCTCCTGCTCTTCCTCCTTCTCTTCCTGCTTCTCCTCCTCCTCCTGCTCTTCTTCCTCCTCCTCTTCCTCCTTCTCCTCTTCCTCCTCCTCCTCCTCTTCCTCCTCCTCTTCTTCCTCCTCTTCCTCTTCCTCCTCCTTTTCCTCCTCCTCTTCCTCTTCCTCCTCCTCTTCTTCCTCCTCCTCTTTCTCCTCCTCCTCCTCCTCCTCTTCCTCCTCCTCCTTCTCCTCTTGCTCTTCCTTTTCCTTCTCCTCCTCTTCCTCCTCCTCATCTTCCTCCTGCTCTTCCTCCTCCTCCTCCTCTTCTTCCTTCTTCTCTTCCTCCTTCTCTTCCTCCTCCTCCTCCCACATCCCAGAACTCCCTGATTCACCTCCAAAACCTCAAACCTTTTTTTTTTCCCCATTTCTGCTGCAATTTGTGCAGAAAAAAACCCCAAAAAAACCCCTTCCAGTGCCCCAAATCTGGGGTGTTGTTATTTCCTCTGAACAAAATCCTGTGTGGGTAATCCCCTAAAATCCCAGTTTTTGTGTTTTGGTTTTTTTTTTCCCCCCTTTTTGGGCCATTCTTTATTTTCCTTTTACTTTTCCTCCCTCTGATTTTAGGCCAAATTCTTTCCCCTCCTTCAAGGGGGAGTTTACAAATCCCACAAACCCATCCCCCTAACAGTGGTGATGCTAAAAACCAGTTTATTTCCACAGCAAATCCCACCATTTTTTACCTCTTTTCTTTACAAAAAACCTTTAGGTGTATTTTGCCTCACATTTTTTTACTTCTCTTCTTTAAAAAAAACCTTTGGGTGTTTTTTACCTCACATTTTTTTACCTCTCTTCTTTAAAAAAAACTTTTGGGTGTTTTTGCCTCACATTTTTTTACCTCTTTTCTTTAAAAAAACCTTTGTGTATTTTGCCTCACATTTTTTTACCTTTTTTCTTTAAAAAACACCTTTGGGTGTTTTTGTCTCCATGTTTTACTCTTTTCTTTAAAAACTTTTGGGTGTTTTTGCCTCACATTTTTGCCTACATTTTTTTACCTCTCTTCTTTAAAAAAAACCTTTAGGTGTATTTTGCCTCACATTTTTTCACCTCTCTTCTTTGCAAAAACCTTTGGGTGTTTTTGCCTCACATTTTTTTACCTCTTCTCTTTGCAAAAACACCTTTGGGTGTTTTTGCCTCACATTTTTTTACCTCTTTTCTTTAAAAAAAACCTTTGGGTGTTTTTACCTCACATTTTTTTACCTCTTTTCTTTGCAAAACCTTCGGGTGTTTTTGCCTCACTTTTTTTTATCTCTTTTCTTTGCAAAAACCTTTGTGTATTTTGCCTCACATTTTTTTACCTCTTTTCTTTGCAAAAACCTTCGGGTGTTTTTGCCTCACATTTTTTTACCTCTCCTCCTTAAAAAAAACCTTTGTGTGTATTTTACCTCACATTTTTTTATCTCTTTTCTTTAAAAAACACCTTTGTGTATTTTGCCTTACATGTTTTTACTTCTTTTCTTTAAAAAAAACCTTTGGGTGTTTTTGCCTCACATTTTTTTACCTCTTCTCTTTAAAAAAACCTTTGTGTGTTTTACCTCACATTTTTTTACCTCTTTTCTTTGCAAAAAACCTTTGGGTGTTTTTACCTCACATTTTTTTACCTCTTTTCTTTAAAAAAAACCTTTGGGTGTTTTTGCCTCACATTTTTTTACCTCTTTTCTTTGCAAAAACCTTTGGGTGTTTTTGCCTCACATTTTTTTACCTCTTCTCTTTAAAAAAACCTTCGGGTGTTTTACCTCACATTTTTTTACCTCTTTTCTTTGCAAAAACCTTTGGGTGTTTTACCTCACATTTTTTTACCTCTTTTCTTTAAAAAACACCTTTGTGTGTATTTTACCTCACATTTTTTTACCTCTTTTCTTTGCAAAACCTTCGGGTGTTTTTGCCTCACATTTTTTTATCTCTTTCCTTTAAAAAAAACCTTCGGGTGTTTTTACCTCACATTTTTTACCTCTTTTCTTTAAAAAACACCTTTTGGTATTTTACCTCACATTTTTTTACCTCTCTTCTTTAAAAAAACCTTTGTGTATTTTACCTCACATTTTTTTACCTTTTTTCTTTAAAAAACACCTTTGGGTGTTTTTGCCTCACATTTTTTTACCTCTTTTCTTTAAAAAAACCTTTGTGTATTTTGCCTCACATTTTTTTACCTTTTTTCTTTAAAAAAACACCTTTGGGTGTTTTTATCTCACATTTTTTTACCTCTTTTCTTTGCAAAAACCTTTGGGTGTTTTTACCTCACATTTTTTTACCTCTTTTCTTTAAAAAAAACCCTTTGTGTATTTTACCTCACATTTTTTTACCTCTTTTCTTTAAAAAACATCTTTGGGTATTTTGCCTCACATTTTTTTACCTCTTTTCTTTAAAAACACTTTTGTGTGTTTTACATCACATTTTTTTACCTCTTTTCTTTGCAAAACCTTCGGGTGTTTTTACCTCACATTTTTTTACCTCTTTTCTTTGCAAAACCCTTTGTGTATTTTACCTCACATTTTTTTACCTCTTTTCTTTAAAAAACACCTTTTGGTATTTTACCTCACATTTTTTTACCTCTTTTCTTTGCAAAAAACCTTCGGGTGTTTTTCCCTCCCACCCAATTTCTCCTCGGCCTTGAGGCGCCGACACCTCCGGGGGGACGAGCGGGGCAAGGAAGTCTGAGAGGGGGGGGAGGCTCTAGCAATTTTTTAAAGTCAAAACCCACTTTACAAAGGATGTTTCAGCATGTCCTGACCCAAACCAAGGTGAGTTTCCCTTTTTTAACCCCAGATCCTACGTGGCCAACCGAGTGACGGACAAGCTGACCCCGCTCCACGACCGCATCTTCTGCTGCCGCTCGGGCTCGGCCGCCGACACGCAGGCGGTGGCCGACGCCGTGGCCTACCAGCTGGCCTTCCACAGGTGGCGTGGGGCAAGCCTTTTAGGGTGGGAGGTCCTAAAAAGCCCCTTTTTGAGGTTGATAAGGTTTTTTTTTGCCCCCCAAACGCAGCGTGGAGCTGGAGGAGCCGCCGCGGGTGCGCACGGCCGCGCGGCTCTTCCAGCAGAGCTGCTACCGCTACCGAGAGGAGCTCAGCGCCGGCATCATCGTGGCTGGCTGGGACCCCCGCCGGGGGGGACAGGTGGGGGTTGGGGAGGGGGTTTTCTGCTTCTTTGCCCCTCCTTTTTGTGTCTCTCTTCTGGGATTTCTTGAGGGTTTAGTGGGATGGGTTGGGTTGGGTTGGGTTGGGTTGGGATGGGTTGGGTTGGGTTGGTTGATGGGTTGGGTTGGGTTGGGTTGGTTGGGTTGGGTTGGGTTGGGTTGGGTTGGGATGGGTTGGGTTGGGTTGGGATGGGTTGGGATGGGTTGGGTTGGGATGGGTTGTGGTTGGGTTGGGTTGGGTTGGGTTGGGTTGGGTTGGGTTGGTTGGGATGGGTTGGGTTGGGTTGGGATGGGTTGGGTTGGGTTGGGATTGGGTTGGGATGGGTTGGGTTGGGATGGGTTGGGTTGGGTTGGGATGGGTTGGGATGGGTTGGGTTGGGTTGGGTTGGGATGGGTTGGGATGGGTTGGGTTGGGTTGGGTTGGGATGGGTTGGGTTGGGATGGGTTGGGTTGGGATGGGTTGGGTTGGGTTGGGTTGGGATGGGTTGGGTTGGGTTGGGATGGTTGGGTTGGGTTGGGTTGGGATGGGTTGAGTTGGGTTGGGTTGGGATGGGTTGGGTTGGGTTGGGATGGGTTGGGTTGGGATGGGTTGGGTTGGTTGGGTTGGGATGGGTTGGGTTGGGTTGGGTTGGGATGGGTTGGGTTGGGATGGGTTGGGTTGGGTTGGGTTGGGATGGGTTGGGTTGGGTTGGGTTGGGTTGGGTTGGGTTGGGTTGGGTTGGGATTGGGTTGGGTTGGGTTGGGTTGGGTTGGGTTGGGTTGGGTTGGGATGGGTTGGGTTGGGTTGGGATGGGTTGGGTTGGGATGGAGTTGGGTTAGGTTGGGTTGGGTTGGGATGGGATGGGTTGGGTTGAGTTGGTTGGTTGGTTGGTTTGGTTTGGTTGGGTTGGTTGGTTGGGTTTGGTTGATTGGTTTGGTTGGTTTGGTTTGGTTGGTTTGGTTGATTGGTTGATTGGGTTGGGTTGGTTGGGATGGGTTGGGTTGGGTTGGGTTGGGTTGGGTTGGGATGGGTTGAGTTGGGTTGGATTGGGTTGGGTTGGGATGGGTTGGGTTGGGTTGGGATGGGATGGGTTGGGTTGGGTTGGGTTGGGATGGGTTGGGTTGGGATGGGTTGGGTTGGGATGGGTTGGGTTGGGATGGGTTGGGTTGGGTTGGGATGGGTTGGGTTGGGTTGGTTGGGTTGGGGATGGGTTGGGTTGGGTTGGGTTGGGTTGGGTTGGGATGGGTTGGGTTGGGATGGGTTGGGTTGGGATGGGTTGGGATGGGTTGGGATGGGTTGGGATGGGTTGGGTTGGGTTGGGTTGGGTTGGGATTGGGTTGGGTTGGGTTGGGTTGGGATGGGTTGGGTTGGGTTGGGTTGGGATGGGTTGGGATGGGTTGGGTTGGGATGGGTTGGGTTGGGATGGAGTTGGGTTGGGATTGGGATTGGGATGGGTTGGGATTGGGTTGGGATGGGTTGGGTTGGGTTGGGATGGGTTGGGTTGGGTTGGGATGGGTTGGGTTGGATGGGTTGGGATGGGTTGGGTTGGGATGGGTTGGGTTGGGTTGGGATGGGTTGGTTGGTTGGGTTGGTTTGGTTGGGTTGGTTGATTGGGTTTGGTTGATTGGTTTGGTTGGTTTGGTTGATTGGATGGGTTGGGTTGGGATGGGTTGGGTTGGGTTGGGATGGGTTGGGATGGGTTGGGATGGGTTGGGATGGGTTGGGATGGGTTGGGTTGGGATGGGATGGGTTGGGTTGGGATGGTTGAGATGGATTAGGTTAGGTTAGGATGATTAGATTGGGTTAGAGATGGTTTAGATAAATTGGATTTAGAGATGAATTAGAGATAGGTTAGGTCCAGATTTAGGGATAAGTTGGATTAGAATGAATTGAGATTTAGAATAGATTTAGAATAGAATTTAAATTTAGAATTTAGAGATAAATTTAGAATAGGATTTAGAATAGAATTAAATCTAGCATTAGGATAAACTTAGAACCTAGACTAGGGTAGAGTTAAGTTGAATTTAAATTAGAGACTAAATTTAGCAAACCCACTCCAAAAACTTTTTCCAATTCCTAATATACCCATCCAGCCAAAGCCTCCCCTGGGCAGAAGCTTAAAGCTTTGCCCCCTCGTCCTGCTGATTGTTTTGGGAGAGAGGCGACCCCCCACCCCTCACTCCGGCTCCCCTCCTCTCAGGGGAGTTGCAAGGGGGCTGAGGTCACCCCTGAGCCTCCCCCTCTCCAGGCTGAGCCCCCACCCAATCCTGAGGTCCCTCAGGCTCTCCTCGGGTTGCCCAAATCCTTCCAGGACCCCCTGCAAATTCCCTAAATCCCCTCCAGGACCCCCTGCAAATTCCCCAAATCCCTTCCAGGACCCCCTGCAAATTCTCCAAATCCTTCAAGACCCCCTGAAATTCCCCCAATCCTTCCAGGATCCCCCTGCAAATTCCCCAAATCCTTCCAGGACCCCCTGCACATTCCCAAAATCCTTCCAGGACCCCCTGCAAATTCCCCAATCCCTTCCAGGACCCCTTTCCATGCTCCCCAAACCCCTCCCAAAATCCCCCTCCCCAACTCCACAGTGCCTCCCAAACCTCCTCCCAGGACCCCTCCCACCCTTCCATGTTCCCCAAATCCCCTCCCAGGACCCCTCCCACCCATCCAAGCTCCCCAAACCCCTCCCAGGACCCTCCCCACCTTCCACGCTCCCAAATCCCCTCCCAGGACCCCTCCCACCCATCCACGCTCTCCAAATCCCCTCCCAGGACCCCCTCACCTCACTCATCCTTCCATGCTCCCCAAATCCCCTCCCAGGACCCCTCCCCACCTTCCATGCCCCCAAACCTCCTCCCAGGACCCTCCCACCTTCCATGCTCCCCAAATCCCTCCCAGGACCCCTCCCACCTTTCCATGCTCCCCAAATCCCCTCCCAAGACCCCCTCCCCAACTTCCACAGTGCCCCCAAATCCCCTCCCAGGACCCGTCCCACCTATCCACGCTCCCCAAATCCCCTCCCAGGACCCTCCTGCTCAAGCCCCAAACTCCTCCTAGGACCTCCCGACCCTCCATGCCCCAAATCCCCTCCCAGGACCCCTCCCACCCATCCAAGCTCCCCAAATCCCTCCCAGGACCCTCCCCACCTCATCTTCCATGCCCCCAAATCCCCTCCCAGGACCCCTCCCCACCTTTCCATGCCCCCAAACCTCCTTCCAGGACCCCCCCACCCATCCAAGCTCCCAAATCCCCTCCCAGGACCCCCCCCACCCTTCCACGCTCCCCAAATCCCCTCCCAGGACCCCTCCCCACCCATCCAAGCTCCCCAAGCCCCCTCCCCAACCCTCCACAGTGCCCCCAAATCCCCTCCCAGGACCCCTCCCACCTTTCCATGCTCTCAAATCCCCTCCCAGGACCCCTCCCACCTTTCCACGCTCCCCAAATCTCCTCCCAGGACCCCTCCCACTCTTTCCACACTCCCCAAATCCCCTCCCAGGACCCCTCCCACCTTTCCACATCCCCAAATCCTCCCAGGACCCTCCCACCCATCCAGCTCCCCAATCCCTCCAGGACTCCTCACCATCCACTCTCACCAAGACCCTCCCAGGACCCCACACCTTTCCATGCTCCCCAAATCCCCCTCCAGGACCCTCTCCCACCCATCCAAGCTCCCAAATCCTCCTCAGAACCCCCCCAACCCTTTCATGCTCTCCCCAGAACCCTCCTCCCAGGAGCCCCTCCCACCCATCAGCGCTCCCAAATCCCCTCCCAGGACCCCCCACCCATCCAAGCTCCCCAAACCCCTCCCAGGACCCTCCCACCCTTCCATGCTCCCCAAATCCCCTCCCAGGACCCCTCCCACCTATCCAGCTCCCCAAACCCGCTCCCAGGACCCCCTCACCTACCCCAAACCCCCTCCCAGGACCCCTCCCCACCCTTCCACGTTCCCCAAACCCCTCCCAGGACCCCTCCCCACCCATCCAAGATCCCCAAATCCCTCCCAGGACCCTCACCCTCACCCTTCCATGCTCCCCAAACCCCTCCCAGGACCCCTCCCACCTATCCACGCTCCCAAATCTCCTCCTAGGACCCCCCCACACCCTTCCACTGCTCCCCAAACCTCCTCCCAGGACCCTCCTCACCCTTCCATGCTCCCCAAACCCCCTCCCAGGACCCCTCCCCACCCATCCAAGCTCCCCAAACCCCCTCCCACAGACCCTCCACACCGTGCCTCCCAAATCCCTCCCAGGACCCCCACCCCCCTCCAAACTCCCCAAATCCCCTCTAGAACCCCCACCCCCACTCATCAAGCTCCTCAGACCCCTCCAGGACCCCTCCCACCTTCCACGTTCCCCAAATCCTCCTTAAGCCCCCAGAACCCCCACACCCATCCAGTCTCCCAAACCCCTCCCAGGACCCCCCTCACCCCCACACCCATCCAGTCTCCCAAGCCCCCTTCCAGGACCGCCCTCCCACCCATCCAAGCTCCTCCAAGTCCCTCCCAAAACCCCCTCCCCACACTCCACAGTGCCCCACAAATCTCGTCCCAGGAGCCCCTCACCCTTCCACATCCCCCAAACCCCTCCCAGGCCCCCTCCCACCCTCCCCAAACCCCCTCCCAGGACCCCTCCCCACCCATCCAAGCTCCCCAAATCCCTCTCAGGACCCCTCCACACCTTTCATGCTGCCCAGATCCTCCTAGAACCCCCTCATCCTTCCATCTCAGGTCCTCTTAGGACCTCCACCTCTGCCCATCCAAGCTCCTGGGCCCCCAGGACTCCCTCCACCCATCCAAACTCCCCAAACCCCCTCCCAGGACCCCTCCACCCTCACCAAACCCTCCCAGGACCCCTCCCACCTTCCATGTTCCCCAAATCCCTCCTTAAGCCCCTGACCCCACCTTCCATGTCCCCCAAGCCCCTCCCAGGCCCCCTCCCACCCTCCCCAAACCCCTCCCCATCCCCGTGCTTCCCCCTCTCCCCCAAGCCCTTCCTGCCCCCTCCTCCTGCCCCAGCTCCTCACAGACCCTCCCCTGTTCCCCTCCCCCAGGTGTACATGGTGCCCCTGGGGCTCCTCCATGGCCCGCTTCGCCGTGGGGGCTCGGGCAGCTCCTACATCTACGGCTTCCTGGACGCCGCCTTCCAGCCCGGCATGAGCAGCGCCCAGTGCCGAGACTTCGTGGCCAGGGGTGGGTTTTTTGGGAGGGGTCCTGGGAGGGGTTTGAGGATGTGGATGGGTGGGAGGGGTCCTGGGAGAGGTTTGGGAGTTGAGAGGGTCGTGGGAGGGATTTGGAAGCATGGATGGGTGGGAGAGTCTGGAGGGGTGGATGAGGTGTAGGAGGATGGAGAGTCCTGGAGAGGGTGGGAGGGTGGGGAGGTCCTGGGAGGGGATTTGGGGGACGTGGAAGGTGGGAGGGTCCTGGGAGGATTTGGGGAGCTTGGATGGCTGGGAGAGGGGTGTGGGAGGTTTGGAGGACATGGGTGGTGTGGGAGATGAAGGGTCCTGGGAAGGGGTTTGGGGATGTGGAATGTGGAGGGGGTCCTGGGAGGATTGAGGTGAGAGAGGTCATGGGAGGGGGTTTGGAGAGTTTATGGATGGGTGGGGGGAGGGTCCTGGGAGGAGGTTTGGTGAGCTGGATGGGTGGGAGGGGTGTGGAGGAGTCCTGGGAAGGGGTTTGGGAGCATAGAGAGGTGGGAGGGTGTGGGAGGGGGTCTTGGGAGGAGGTTTGGGGAGAGTGGAAAGGTGGGGAGGGGTCTTGGGAAGGATTTGGGGAGCATGGAAGGGTGGGAGGGGTCCTGGAAGGGATTTGGGGATCATGGAAGGGTAGGAGGAGGGGTCCTGGGAGGGGATTTGGGAGCGTGGAAGGGTGGGAGGGGTCCTGGAGAGATTGGGGACGTGGAAGGTGGGAGGGGGTCCTGGTAGGGTTTAGGGAGCATGGAAAGGTGGGAGGGGTACTGGGAGGGGATTTGGGGAGCTTGGATGGGTGAAAGGGGGTTCTGGGAGGGATTTGGGGAACATGGAAGGGTGGGGAGGGGTGAGGGAGGGATTTGGGGACGTGGATGGGTGGGAGGGTGAGGGGGTCCTGGGAGGAGGTTTGGGAGGCACTGTGGAAGTGGGGAGGGTCCTGGGAGGATTTGGGGAACATGGAAGGGTGGGGAGGGGTCCTGGGAGGGGATTTGGGGAGCATTGAAAGGTTGGGAGGGTCCTGGGAAGGGATTTGGGGTCACTGTGGGGTCAGGTCAGGGGTTTTTGTGCAAAGACCAATTTGGGGCCATCCCCTCCAAAGAGGGGATCTGGGGTCACCAAACAACTCGGGGGGTTCTTTGGGTGGGGAGGGTCCCTAATTTGGCAGGCACTGTGGGGTTGGGGAGGAGTTTGGGGAGGGGTTTGTGGAGCATGGAAAGGTGAGGAGGTCCTGGAAGGAGATTTGGGGAGCTTGGATGGGTGAAAGGGGTGGGTTTTGGGAGGGGATTTGGGGATCTTGGATGGGTGTGGGGTTTGAAGGGGAATTCTGAGAGGGGATTTGGGGAGAATGGAAAGAGTGGGAGGGGTGAGGGTCCTGGGAGGGGTTGGGGAGCATGGAAGGGTGGGAGGGGTCCTGGGAGGGTGTTTGGGAGCTTGGAAGGATGTGGGGGGTTTGAGGGGGTCCTAGGAGGGGATTTGGGGTCACTGTAAGGTTTGGGGAGGAGTTTTGGGAGGGATTTGGGGAACATGGAAAGGTGTGGGGGTATGAAGGGTCTTGGGAGGGGGTTTGGGAAGCTTGAATGGGTGGAAGGGGTTGAGGGGGTACTGGGAGGGGATTTGGGGAGCTTGGAAGGGTGTGGGGGGTTCAGGGGGTTTGGGAGGGATTTGGAGAACATGGAAAGGTGGGAGGGGTCCTGGGAGGGGATTTGGGGAACATGGAAGGGTGGGAGGGGTCCTGGGAGGGGATTTGGGGAGCTTGGATGGGTGGGAGGGGTCCTGGGAGGGATTTGGGGAGCTTGGATGGGTGGGAGGGGTGTGGGAGATGTGGATGGGTGGGGAGGGGTCCTGGGAGGAGTTTGGGGAGCTTGGATGGGTGGGAGGGGTGTGGGGGGAGGTTTGGAGTAACGTGGAAAGGTGAGGAGGGGTCCTGGGAGGGATTTGGGGAGCTTGGATGGGTGGGGAGGGGTCCTGGGAGGGGGTTGGGAGAATGGAAGGGTGGGAGGGGTGAGGGGGTCGTGGGAGGGATTTGGGGAGCTTGGAGAGGTGGGAGGGGTCCTGGGAGGAGGTTTGGGGGATGTGGAAGGGTGAGGGGGTCCTGGGAGGGGTTTAGGGAGCATGGAAGGGTGGGGAGGATGAGAGGGGTCGTGGGAGGGGATTTGGGGACGTGGATGGGTGAGGGGGTCCTGGGGAGGATTTGGGGGAGTGTGGATGGGTGGGAGGGGTGAAGGGGGATTTGGGGAGCGTGGATGGGTGGGAGGGGTCCTGGGAGGATTTGGGGTCACTGTGGGTTTGGGGAGGGGTTTTGGGAGGGATTTGGGAACATGGAAAGGTGTGGGGGTATGAAGGGTCTTGGGAGGATTTGGGAGCGTGGAAAGGTAGGAGGGGTCCTGGGAGGGGTGTTGGGGGACGTGGATGGGTGTGGGGGGTTGAAGGGGGTCGTGGGAGGGGTTTGGGGAGCTTGGATGGGTGGGAGGGTCCTGGGAGGGGGTTTAGGGAACGTGGAAGGATGGGAGGGGTTGAGGGGTCCTGAGAGGGATTTGGGGAGCATGGATGGGTGTGGGGGGGTGTGGAGGGTCCTGGGAGGGTTTGGGGGACGTGGATGGGTGAGAGGGGGTGAGGGGGTCCTGGGAGGGGACTTAGGAAGCATGGAAGGTGGGAGGGGTCCTGGGAGGGGATTTGGGGAGCATGGAAAGGTGGGAGGGGTCCTGGGAGGGGATTTGGGGAGCTTGGATGGGTGAAAGGGGTTTTGGGAGGGATTTGGGGAACATGGAAAGGTGAGGAGGGGGTCCTGGGAGGGGTTTGGGGAGCATGGAAGGGTGGGAGGGATCCTGGGAGGGGTTTGGGGGCACTGTGGAGTTGGGAGGGGATTTGGGGGAACGTTGAAGGTGGGGAGGGGTCCTGGGAAGGGATTTGGGAAACATGGAAGGATGAGGGGGGTCTTGGGAGGGATTTGGGGAGTGTGGAAGGGTGAGGGGGTCCTGGAAGAGGGATTTGGGAGGCATGGAAGAGGTGGGGAGGGGTCCTGGGAGGGATTTAGGGAACATGGAAGGGTGAGGGGGTTTTGGGAGGGATTTGGGGAGAGTGGAAGGGTGAGGGGCTCCTGGAAGGATTTGGGGGGGCATGGAAAGGTGAGGAGGTCCTGGGAGGGGATTTGGGGAGCTTGGATGGGTGGGGAGGATCCTGGGAAGAGATTTGGGGTCACTGTGGGGTTGGGTCAGGGACTTCTTTTTGGAAAGACCAACTTGGGGCCATCCCCTCCAAAGAGGGATCTGAGGGTCACCAAACAACTCAAGGGAGTTCTTTGGGTGTGGGGAGGGGTCCTAATTTATGTGTCCCCCCTCCCCAACCCAGGTCTGGCCTGGCCATGGCGAGGGACAGTTCCAGCGGGGAGTGATCCGCTTAGCCACCATCACCGAGCAGAGGGTGGAAAGGACGGTCCTGGCCGGCCCTGACCTGCCCTGGGGGGATGGTGGCCCCCTCTTAAAGGGAGGAAGGGACCCCCTCCCTGAAAAAAAACCCCAAAAATCCCCAAAATGGGGAGGGAGGGCACAAAACCAACCGGTTGGGTGGGGAGGGTCCCTCTATCACCCCCTCCCCTTTTTGGTGTCCTCCCCACTTGGGGGGTGTGGAGTGGAAGCCACACCCCCAGCGTGGCCCACCCCCTCTGTCGCGACAGACAAGACATAAAACCACGCCCTCCCCCTTGAGAGGGTGGAGTGTGTCTGTGTGAGGTTGCTTTAATTACATCATAATCACCATCCATGATTCATTAACAAAGCACAGCAAAAATGGAGAGGTGGGGGTGGATTTTGGAAGTGAGGGGAGAGGAGGGGAGGGCTCTTGATTTTAGATATTTTGGTTGGAATAAAAACCCCAGAGGTTTAAAGGGTGGGGGTTGGGGGTCCCCTATAGGAAAACCCATAAAGTTCAGGGCTGTCCTTTTTGGGATGAGCAATCCCCCTCCCAGCTTCAAAGCCCCTCCCCAATATATTGGGGTCAAACACCGCTTTTACAGAGCCCAGACCACCCCCTAGGGCCTAGGGTGGGGGGAGGAGAGAGGTCAGAGGGTTTAAAGGGGGTGGGAGGGTCCCTATAGGAAAACCTATAAAAGTTTAGGAGCTGTCCTTTTTGGGATGAGCAATCCCCTCCCCCTTCAAGAAACCTCCCCAATATATTGGGGGTCAAACACCCCTCTTACAGAGCCCAAGACCACCCCATAGGGCCTGGGGTGGGGGGAGGGGAGGAGGTCAGAGGGTTTAAGGGGTGGGGGAGGTCCCCTATGGAAAACCCTATAAAAGTTTAGGGCTGTCCTTTTGGGATGAGCAATCCCCTCCCCTTCAAGAAACCCCTCCCCAATATATTGGGGTCAAACACCAGCTTACAGAGCCCAAGACCACCCCGGGGTGAGGAGGGAGGGAGTGTTCACCCCAAGAGTGGACCTAAAACCCCTCCCACTCTGATGGGGGAGAGGGCACAAACAACCCTACAAACCCCTCCCTCCTACCCCAGATCCTCCTGAGGGGAAAAAGGGAGGGAGGGGGTTGAGATACCCCAATTTCCCCCTCCTCCTGCCTCCAGATCCCCTGAGGGAAAAAGGGAGGAGAGGGGTTGAGATACCCAATTTTCCCCTCCCAGGGTTGAGGAGGTGGGTGGGAGTTGAGATGCCCCAATTTCCCCTTCCCTCCACCCCAGATCCCCTGAGGGGAAAAAGGGGAGGAGGGGTTGAGATACCCCAATTTCCCCCCTCCCCCAGGATAGGGGGGTGGGTGGGGGGTCAGGCACTGAGGAAGAGCCGCTGGTACCACTTGTTCATCTGCTCGAGGAAGATGAAGGTGAGCCACGGTGTGGGGGCCCAGGCGAGGCGTAGTAAGAGGTGAAACCTTTCCAGAGGCTGAAGAAACCCTCGTACCTCACCACCTTGACCAGCACGTCCTGCCAGGGAGGTGGGAAAAGAAAAATAACCCAAAAAAATTAGGAGGGAAAGCGTCTAAAATTGACCAGCACGTCCTGCCAGGGAGGTGGCAAAAAATCACCAAAAAATTAGGAGAGAAAGCGTCTAAAATTGACAGCCACCCCCCCAGGGGTGAGGGGGAACCTCCCTCAAAGAGATGGGAGAAACTCCCCTTAAAAATGGGAGATTGAAGAGCCCTGAAAGGATGGGGAAGGTCCTGAAAAAATGAGCTCAAAGTGGGGTGGGAAATGCCCCCCAAATGATGGGAAATTCAATTTAAAATGACAGGGAACCTCCTCAAAAAATGAGCTCGAAGTGGGGTGGGAAACGCCCCCCAAAAGATGGGAAAGTCAATTTAAAATGACAGGGAACCTCCTCAAAAAATGAGCTCGAAGTGGGGGCAGGAAATGCCCCCCAAATGATGGGAAAGTCAAAAGGGAACCCCCCCAAAATGATGGGGAACCTCCTGAAAAAATGAGCCCAAACTGGGACAGGAAATGCCCCCCAAATGATGGGAAATTCAATTTAAAATGAAAGGGACCAACCACACCCCAAAATGATGGGGAAACTGCTCAAAAAATGAGCCCAAACTGGGGCAGGGAACACCCCCAAAATGGTGGGAAAGTCAAAAGGAAACCCCCCCCAAAATGTCAGGACCCAACCACACCCCAAAATGACACAGAAATCCCCCCCAAAAAGTGAGGGGGCCACCCCAAAATGGTGGGAAAGTTCCTGCCCTCCCTGTCCAGGTTGAAAGGGAACCCCCCCCAAAATGAGAAGGATCAACCACACCCCAAAATGAGGGGAACCTCCTCAAAAAATGAGCCCAAATGATGGAAAAGTCCTCCCCCCACTCAAAAGGGAACCCCCCCAAAATGACAGGGACCAAACATACCCCAAAATGATGGGGAACCTCCTGAAAAAATGACCCCAACTGGGACAGAAAATGCCCCCAAAATAATGGGAAGGTCAAAAGGGAACCCCCCCCAAAATGAAAGGGACCAACCACACCCCAAAATGATGGGGAACCTCCTCAAAAAATGAGCTCAAAGTGGGATGGGAAACGCCCCCCAAATGATGGGAAAGTCAAAAGGGAACCCCCCCAAAATGAAAGGGACCAACCACACCCCAAAATGAGGGGAACCTCCTCAAAAAATGACCCTGACTGGGACAGGAAACATCCCCAAACGATGGGAAAGTCAAAAGGGAATCTCTTTAAATAACAGGGACCAACCACACCCCAAAATGACACAGAAACCCCCCCCAAAAAGTGAGGGGGCCGCCCCAAAAAGGTGGGAAAGTTCCTGCCCTCCTTGTCCAGGTTGAAAGGGAACCCCTTTAAAATGACAGGACCCAACCACACCCCAAAATGATGGGGAACCTCCTCAAAAATGACCCCAACTGTGGCAGGAAACGCCCCCCAAATGATGGGAAAGTCAAAAGGGAACCCCCCCCAAAATAACAGGGACCAACCACACCCCAAAATGATGGGGAACCTCCTCAAAAAATGACCCCAAAGTGGGGCAGGAAATGCCCCCCAAAATGGTGGGAAAGTCAAAAGGGAACCCCCCCAAAATGATGGGGAAGCTCTTGAAAAAATGAGCTCAAAGTGGGGCGGGAAACGCCCCCCAAATGATGGGAAATTCAATTTAAAATGTCAGGAACCAACCACACCCCAAAATGATGGGGACCTCCTCAAAAAATGAGCCCAAAATTGGGACAGAAAACGCCCCCCAAATGATGGGAAAGTTCTCCCCCCACTCAAAAGGGAACCCCTTTAAAATGACAGGGACCAACCACACCCCAAAATGATGGGAACCTCCTCAAAAAATGACCCAGACTGGGACAGGAAACGCCCCCGAAATGATGGGAAAGTCAAAAGGGAACCCCCCCAAAATGATAAGGACCAACCACACCCCAAAATGATGGGGAACCTCCTCAAAAAATGAGCCCAAAGTGGGGCAGGAAACGCCCCCCAAATGATGGGAAAGTCAAAAGGGAACCCCCCCAAAATGACAGGGACCAACCACACCCCAAAATGACAGAGAAACTCCTCAAAAAATGACCCTGACTGGGACAGGAAACACTCCCCTAATGATAGAAAATTCAAAAGGGAACCCCTTTAAAATGACAGGGACCCAACCACACCCCAAAATGATGGGGAAACTGCTCAAAAAATGACCCTGACTGGGACGGGAAACGCCCCCCAAATGATGGGAAGTCAAAAGGGAACCCCCCCAAAATAACAGGGACCAACCACACCCCAAAATGATGGGGAACCTCCTCAAAAAATGACCCCAATTGTGACAGGAAACAACCCCCAAATGATGGGAAAATGAAAAGGGAACCCCCCCAAAATGACAGGGACCAACCACACCCCAAAATGATGGGAACCTCCTCAAAAAATGACCCTGACTGGGACAAAAAACGCCCCCCAAATGATGGGAAAGTCAAAAGGGAACCCCCCCAAAATGACAGGAACCAACCACACCCCAAAATGACACAGAAATCCCCCCCTAAAAACAAGGGGGACCCTCCCCAAAGCCCCCCACCCCTCCCAGAGCTCACCAGCCCGTTGCGGTACTCGGGTTTGCCGTCGATCGTCCGCATGTTCTGGATCCTGCCAGGATCATTTCATGATCAGGGGGGCGTAAAACCAGGCAGATTTTGGGGTAATTCCCCTTTCCCCTCCCCCCCCAACACAAAAATGTGGTAATTAATTAGCTGAAAAGGTTAAAGGAGGGGAGGAACCCACCGGGTCTTGACGATGTCGACGGGCATGGAGGCGGCCGTGGTCACCAGCCCGCTGATCATGCTGGCACAAAAGTGGCACAGGATGTCGTCTCGGAAATGCCCTGAGGATTTAGGGGGGAAAAAAACCCCAAAAATGTTAAAAAGGGGGTGGGAGAGCTTGCCAGGATTTGGGGGGGGACAAAAAGAACAGGCTGAGCTCACCGGAGTCGAGCAGGAATTGCTTGGATTGGGAGTAGGAGGCGAGCTGGGCAGCGTTGACGACCACGGCGCGGGCCATGGTGGGGATGCAGCCCTAAAGGGAAATGGGGTGGGGGGGAGTTGGGGAGCCCTGCACCCTGGAGCCCCAGCTTATCCTCCCTCCATTTGCCCCATTTACCACCCCCATCCCCCTGCACTCCCAACATCCCCCTGAGTGGGGACGCGGCCCTAGAGGAAGGGGGTGGGAAGAAAATATGGGGTGGGGGCAGTTGAGGACCTGCACCCCTGGAGCCCCTTTATACATCCTCCTCCCCATCTCCCCCTGCACCCCCTGCACCCCTGGAGCCCCCATTTACCACCCCATCTCCCCCTGCACCTCCCAGCATCCCCTGAGCGGGGTGACCCCACAGAGGGGACACAGCCTAAGGTGGGGGGAGAATGTGGGTGGGGGGATGAGGACCCCTGGAGCCCCATTTTACCCTCCCCATTTACCACCCCCATCTCCCCCTGCACCTCCCAACATCCCACCTGAGTGGGGTGACCCCACAGAAGGGGACACAGCCCTAAAGGGGAGGGGGCACAGGTTGGAGGTGTCCCTGCACCCCCAAACCCCAAACCCTGAGACCACCCCAAAACCCCAAACCTTGAGACCACCCCCTTTCCTCCCCACAAACCCCCAGGTAAATGATGGGGGTCCCAAGTTAAGTGGGGGATTCCAGCAGGAGGATTGTGGGAGGGGACTCAGGGGATTCTAAGGTAAAGATGGATTTTGGGGTGGGGTGGGTGTGGCTCTC